ATTTATTCCTATGAGAATTGAATCACCACATTAAAACAGTACCTTTGTCTCTTTAGTAATCTCACTTAAATTATCTTTATCGGGTTTTTTTTACCGGTTTTTTCAAATAATATGGGTTTATCCGAAATTACGACAGATTTACTTCTTTTATTAACCTTTTTTTGGTACTTTAAAAACTTTTTCTTACGTTTCAGCCTGATTGAATGAAGTTGACTTGTTAAATCAGAGTATTTTTTTATAGGTTTTATAGGTTTGCCTCGTTCAATTTCAAAAGTATTAGTGGGATTGATATGATCAGAATTTAAGTTTTTTTTTAGAGCGAAAAGTAATCTTGTAGAAATGTTTGTTCCAATACGTCGTAACTGATGATAAGTTGCCAGAAATGTGCAAAAACATTAATCTTTTATTTGTATAGGTTGGGAAGCAACAATGCTGTTATAGCTACAATGCTGTTATAACTACAATGCTGTTGTAACTGCAATGCTGTTATAGCTACAAAGCTGTTATAGCTACAATGCTGTTATAGCTACAAAGCTGTTGTAACTGCAATGCTGTTATAGCTACAATGCTGTTATAGCTACAAAGCTGTTGTAACTGCAATGCTGTTATAGCTACAAAGCTGTTATAACTACAATGCTGTTATAGCTACAAAGCTGTTATAACTACAATGCTGTTATAGCTACAATGCTGTTATAGCTACAATGCTGTTATAGCTACAATTATGTTATAACTACAAAGTTGTTATAACTACAATACTGTTATAACTGCAAAGTTGTTTGCAATTTATCAAGACTTTTTTAATTATAAAATATGAAAAGTTTATGCATGTCAACGTTTATAAATATAATTGTAAAATTGCTACATGACAAAATGAAATGTTTAATCATTTTTATCAAAATTAACTGATCAGTTGAACAATCTTGTTATATAAGTTCCGTTCTGAATATCATAGCTATTATTATTGTCATTCTGATTCGAGTATCGCTTAGACTCCAGGTTTTGGTAGAAGTCATAGCAACCTCTTGGTATGAATGTGAGCATTTTTAATGGGTCGTTTTATTTTAATCAAAAATCGATAGTCTGGAAGAGTTTTGTCGTTTTAACTCAACTGTTGAGAAGTTGAGTTAACGTATCTGCTAAGTTTTTGCCATTTACTTAGCGTTGCTTCTCCTCTTATATTGTGAGCGAAATATTTAACTTTACCGTCACCATTTTTCTTGTATATCATTTTCCTCTGATCCATGATGTTAAACACTGTGCTTTGGCATATTTTAATATTTACTTTGTTGAAATATATGAAATTTTTGTGTCATTTCCATTATGGTGAACGGAACACAATCATTTCTTATATTTGCCTTTTGCATGTGTGGAATGTATCATGATAGAAGATACACGTTTTTATTGAACTTGCTTTCAACCATAGAATATATACTCATCCGTTTTTCGAATGTCTAAGCTCAAAGAATTTTTCGCGAATACATCGATTATTTTCTACTGTTCCACCTGTGTTCAGCAGAGCGGTAAAACCCAGGTAAAACAGTGTCCACGCCGATTGTTTTTCTCTGCCAACTCTAAAATTGTAAAGTTTTAGACACTTAATTTCCGACGGTAATTAGCTTCGGTTCAGTTTGAGTCATGGCGTACTTTATAACAGACCTATTCACCGTGCGGATGACGTCACAAACTGAGGCGAGTTTTTTTAAACAAAAAATACAGAAAAATTACCTGAACTAAACATAAAAATTAATTTTTAAGGAAGAAATAAAAGTAAACAACAAAAATATATTAAAAATATATTTAAAAATAATTCTTCTTTATTCTTTTATTCTATTATAGTTATATACAGTATGATTATTTAAATTCAACAGTTCAATTTAACAAAAAACAGTTGCTGTTGACTTTTGTTATTTAACGCTAAGTTTTAAAAGTTTTTGTTTTGGTTCTTTTTCAGACCTTGGAGATTATAAAAAAAAGTGTAACACCATGGTTTCTGTTCATATTTAATTGATAGGATTCTGATACAAGAATTATTAGATTGCACAAAGAAGATATGCATTATTATGAGCTACTTCACGAAAGATAATATAGCAATATATTACCCGTTGACTAAATCACCAGGTATAGTTAAACCTCTGCGATTGATTTCCTCAGTAAAATCTCTAAATATCTCATTATAAAAATACGAGTCATCTGAATCTTCGTCATTTCGGACAATATCACCAGCTATGTAAATTAGAGTCATTTTGACATCTTTAGATAATATGCTTTCTATTTCTGCCAAATTATCAAATATCAAACTTTTCTTCATTTAAGTAAAAACCACAAGAATGAGCTGATGTAGTAAAATCAAGATCAACATCATATTTGTCTAATTATAAAAGTAGCTTTGTTATTATGATACCCTCTTTTTCTAGTATTTGTTGAACAATGATAAAATATATACCTCCTGATCCCTGTCTCAGTTTTCCAAACTGCTTTCTTAAAGGATCATCTGTAAATGTTCCAAGCAAAACATACTTATGACTTGTAGATAAGAGGAACTTTTACACTCCACAAGACCATTGTAAGTATGATAGATACTTTTAGAAGTATCTTTAGTAAACCTTTAAAACGAACTATTTGAGAAGACCATATTTGTTTAGCCTTGTTTCCGAATTCTAACAGCTTTTGAAGATTAAAATCATAAGAAGAGAAAATAGCAGCCCGATTCGGATCACGCATATGTACATCTACATAAAGGATATGAACATTTCTCCAAAATTCAGTTATTATTGAAAGAAAAGAAATAGTATCCTCAACATCTTTTAACTCGGGGTGACATAAACTGTTTCTTCGCAAAATACTTTCAGACAAGTTGAAACTTTTTGCCTTTCAATTGGTTTTGGGAACACAGCAACATCTGTAAGTTTAGACGTTTTAATCATTTGATTTGATCCTAATTTATGCAATGCTACAACATGAGACCATTTGGCTACTTTTTTTTCTTTATTAACAAAAAATTCAAGTTCTTGTAACTTTTCGGTGATCCAATAATTGCGAATATTTTTTAAAAGGTGCACAAAATCATAAAGAAGATATGTATTATCTTTGTTCGCCAAGGTACCCCATCAGTCTCAAATTTCTTGAAAAATACTTGATTTACCCTATTACCATCACAAACTATAGAAATAACACGGCCACCTGCTGCTTTTATGGAAGATAAAAGTAAATTAGTTTGTTCAAAAAGAAAATTTGAATAGATGTCATGCAAAGGAAGCATTTTACATAAAATTTTGGATCCACCAAACAAAGTAATAACCATAAAACTTAAAACAGTATTTGCAAGAACATTTAGATTAACTGTTTTTCCAAAAATTGTTCCCTCATGGTACTGCTACATAGCCTTTACATAAACTTCATATAATAGAAGAATGCAGTATTTATGTCTAATGTCTGTTAAGTTTGAAAAAATCTTTTATAGATAAATATCCTCATGAATAGATTTTACTCTTAATGTTAGTCTTGTTATAATGCTAGGAAGTTCAAAGTCTGCTCGGAGATGATTATATGAAGCACGTGATGTTGCAAAGTACTCAAAAGCTCAAATCAATGTTTCAACAGAGTACTTTTTATATGTAACAGGTTTATCGCTAATTGAAAAAAGTTACTGTTGAATAATTTTTTTTTTATTGCTTATCCCATATGAATTTTTTTTTTTTTTACTGCTTATCTCAAATGAATTTTTTTTTACTGCTCATCTCATATGAATTTTTTTTTTACTGCTTATCTCTTATGAGTTTAAAAATCGAACTGCTTCTTCAATGTGACCATCTATTCAATATAGTAATTCTGTTCTGTGAGATTTTTTTTATTAAGCATTTGACTCCAAGCTTAAAAAGATTCATACTTAAACTTATTTATTTTTAGAACAAACAATGGAACATACGAACTCTAATGATTAGAACAAACAATGGAACAAACAATGGAACATACGAACTCTAATGATTAAATCAAAACTTGATTTTGTTTTAGTATTAAAGATATCAATTCCATTAAATTTATAGTTTTTTATGTTTGTTTTCAGACCATCAAAAGATTTTATAATCATTTTAAATCAAAAGCAGACAACTCGCCATGCTGAACATTTCTTGTTTCTGAATGTGATCTTGAAGTTGTTCTGGGACAACTAGATGGTTTAACATTAAACTGAGTTTTACACACTTAAACACAGATGAAGGATCACATGGTCTTTCTTTGCCATAATCTTTTGTTGAAACGTATCCAACAGGCCAGTGCCTTTCACAAACAACGTTGTCTTTCTTATCTGGTATGCTGTCTCTTGGAATAACAGCCAACCACTTTTTTCTGGAGTTCGAAGAAGACAAAAAGTTTTTTCTTTAGAACTTTTATTATAATTACCGTTGCAATTTGTGAAACAGCATTTATGACCCATGTTTATTACAAAGTAATATAAAAATTTAAAAATTGACTAAATAATTTAGCAAGCACTTCGACTTTGTGACAGAATGAATATACGAAATACAAAATGTTCGCCTCCAGTTTATGACGTCATCGGCACGGTGAATAGTCCGGTTATAAAGTACGCCATGGTTTGGGTGCTCTCGTCAAGTTTTTGTAGCTAAAAATTTAGCAAGTATATCAAATCACTGTGTTTTCAAAGGTGGTCGGAATGACGGCTCTAATGTTATACAGTTTCAAAAATGTTTGATTAGTTTTTTTTTAAATGAACTAAAAATAAATTTTTAGTATTTTAAGTTGTGAGATTTTTTTTGTTCTTCATTATAAATGTTGTTCGGACAAACAAATTTTGTATTTTTAAAAGATATTAAAGATATAACTATATTATAAAATAAATATAAAAGTTTGCTTTCAAAATTTAGACATTAATGTATAAATATTATATAATCAAAAATAAGAAAAAAAAGTTTTTAAATAAACATGTTTATGTGAATTTAGCATATTAATACTTTTTTTTTTTAAATGCTATTATTGCAAAAACAAAACAAAAAGGAAAAAAAAGGCTGAAAATAATTTTGCTAAACGTCATCGTCATTTTTATTAATTATGTCTACTAAGTATTTAGATTCTAATGGATTTTCTCGAAAAAGCATTTCTGAAGAAAGAGTAGAATTTAATTCATTAAGCTCGACTGCACTTAAGTCTTTTACAACTATATTTTTGTCAAAGTATAAAAACAAAACAGTTGAAGGAACAGAAAATCCACACGCATTTAAAAATATTCTGGTATCGTCAGTTGAGTTAAAAAGCATCCATTCTTTCAGTTTATCTAGCGGAAATTTTAACGATTTGTTGCTATAGGCGACATTAAGTTGCTTAAGAAAATTTATTCTAATAATATTGTACATTTTGATCAAACAACACGATTGAAGAAATGTTAATTTTTTAACCAATCTAAAAAAGCGATAGTAATTTCTTTTATGGTAACATTCAAACAACGCTTTTATTATGTCAAGTTCTTCTTGGATGCCGCAACAATTGTGATAATTTTTGAAAACAAATTCTTTATAGTAAATGGCCGAATTTTGTATATTTAGCAATATATAATAAGAAATAAACTCATATCTATTATACAAATGATTTTTTTGTTGTTGAGCAGCATCGTAGTACTCGCACCAATCTCCGATATAAGAATCTAGCAGAACATTGTTAAGAACTGGATCATAATCGTTCAAACTCTCATACATTAGTAAATTAAAAACGGCAATATGATACCGAATAATTCGCTCTAGTATTGGAACAGCATATCTCCATGACAGTTGTTGTACTATGATATCTTGACGAACACAGCGCAGTCTATCAGAAATAAAACTGGTCTTCGACACCAATGATTTCGGATGGTTAGGTGTTTCAAGAACAGAACCTAAAAAAAAATAATCAAAGGAATTACGCGTGCAGAACTTTGGTAAACAAAGTAAATGAATTTTTCAAATTATCGCACAAAACGGTTTCACGAAATGAGAAGGGTATTATATATATAAATTTTGTATACGTTGAAAAACTACTATCAACCAACCGTAACTTTACCTAATTGAAAAAAATATTTCATAATTAGAGTGTACAGTAATAGTTTTGATTCAACTGAAAAATTACCGCAATTTTAGAGTACTTTACAAAAATAAAAAAATTTCATTTAAATTTTAAAATAGGTAAATTTCAAAAATTTTCAAGAAATCTTGAATTACAATGGCTTTTAAAACAACTCGTAACAATTATTTTGAAAAATATCTGTTACGATTTACGGTGTTTTAGTCACTGTATTCTTCGACCTCTATTTTGTTAACTATACTTCATGAGCTCTTTAGTGAGGTAAAGATATTTAATAAAATAAGTTTTAGAAAAACAAAATCCAGTTATCTTATTCTATCAGAATGTATGGGGTAACATGAAACAGTTTTAGTGGAGCACCATGAAACTATATTAATGTATCATTTTGTAAATTGCTCGATAGTCAAGCATACTATAATTAATCATCGGCGGAAAATATTGACTTCTATAATTTAATGTTTAACCTAACTTGGTAACAAATCCGGTGGACCATTAAATAAAGTTTATCTAGTAAAAATAAATGTTATGTTATTCAGTATTTATGCATGTAGTATAATGATGTATTTATGTAGTAATAAAATAAATTTTGGACAAATTCACAAGGACGTCTGTTGTAAAATTAAGATCTATTGATTTCGATACGGCTATAATAGATAATATAAAAGTTCCCAGTAACTGGATTAAAGAGAACAAAGCTGGAAGAAAATGGATTCGTTTGTTTTTAAAGTGGTATTCTTTAGGCATTTGAATGCCAGAAGGATGTTCATTGTCAACAATGACATTTCAATAATTACAATGTATAAAAGTATTTTACTAATTTAGAGGCATTGAATTTAAGAGATTCAAAATTTGGTGATGGATTTCACATTTAGAATGAAACAACAACTGTACAAAAATGTAATAAAATCATTAAAATTATCTCTTTAACAAGTAAAACGTGAAACTTCGGTGACAAGCTGTTTTTTTTATAAGTACCTCAGGTGCTACCATTTCACCTGAAAATTTATTCTAATAATATTGTACAGGTGCTACCTCATTATGATATTTCTAAGAAAAAAGTTTAAGCAACATATGCTGAATAATGCACCATTTGAATCTCTTGGTCTTAGTAAGTGACCGGAGTTGATATCATCATGATTGTCATCATCAACAGGATTTAGCTGCTGTTTCTCTAATATAAACAATCTAGAGCATTTTCTTTTCTTAACTAAACCTCATTCATGCAATATATAAGGTACTCTCTTCAAGTTTTCTTACTTCTACCACTACCATTTTCTCTTTAAGCTGCTACCTCTGTACATGCTGATACCTAAATCAGTTTAATCTTCTCTAAAAAACGTTGTCCGATATGACGTTTTTTTCTAACGAAACTAAGACTATGCCTCCCTTTCTTGTTGTGTTAGAGTCACACCACAGGTCAACTTCTTGTTGTGTTAGAGTCACATCCATCTGATCAACTTTTCTTTTGGCAAATACTACACCATATAAATACTAAAGTTTTTATAAATACGAAAGAATATTGCTTGCCAGCATTTAAATAAATAGCAAACATATATGTTTATACCCATAATATGTATGGATAAAGCGCATCTTGGAAGCTTTTATTTCTTTTGGAATAAAAGTTTGGAAGCTTCTATTTTTTCTCTTCAATACTCTGCATTTAAGTCTAATATATAATCTCTAATTCATGGATCTGATCTTTTTACTTCTCCCCAGAATAAGGCAGAGTTTTTTGCAAAAGTCTTACTCAAAATCTTACTCTAATATAACTCTTGAATCTAATGGCCACACTCTTCCTGCAAGTAAAACAGAATAAGAATTGTTAAACATCAAAATCACTATGTTAATTAATGATTAAGTTAATTTTCAAATTTCCAGAACTCTCTTCAATTTTTGCTAAACTTTAAAAAAGTGCTAAATAATTGGTTTCAATTTTTCAAAACTCTAGAAAACATCTCTCCAACTATTTTACGACTATTCTTCACTCTGCTATTAGTTTCTTTATATAACATTTTTAAGATTATTAAATTATTCTTTTCTAACTGCAGTATTAATATTATTCTCGAATGCCTACACTCTTCTTTATTTCAAGTAACTTTAAGGGTACCGCAAGGTTCTATCTTTGCTCATGTATTGTTTCTTATCTACAATAACGATCTTCATGAAAATTTTACGTCTAAAGTTCCTCTATTAGTCGACGACTCAACTTTATACTCTTGTCTAGACAAAAAAAATCTTCACTTTTTGACTGCTTAGAACAAGCAGCCAGTTTTTAATCTGATCTCTCTTTTATAACAGCCTAAGGCTCGCAGACTTAAATTCTAGACTTAAAATCCACTATTTTTTTTAGGCAACAAAACTCATCTATTTACTGTAAAAAAATTATGCAATATTGTTGGCATTTCTATATAACTAATAACAACCCTCTTTTTCTCAGACAAAGTCTAAAAGCTGTAAATGTTGTTAGACCTGCTTTATCTGCTAAGCTTGAACCACTCTCTCATTATTGTAAGGTCGCATTTCTTTCTTTTTTCTACAAATACTATTATGGTCAATGCTCAAACAAGCTATTATCTCTATTACGATAAACCAAAACTCATTCTTACTTGGCTTCTTATTCAACAAGCTGCATCTTTTAATGTACCTGTCCCTTCATGTTATAAAAACTTTTATTAATCCAGTTTTTTTCCTTGCGCATCAGAAAAACTCTTTCCCATCTTCATGTTTACCTTTTTAGTATATCCTACAACTTTTAAAGTCTTCAGTTAACTATTTTCAAGTATTTTTAAGTAACTCATAACTCTATTTTAAAGTAACTCATAACCTAATAGTAGTTGCTTGCAATCTTGTTGGAAGTAAATTAGAGTTTAAAAATGTATAAATATATGCCAGTATATAATAAATAGTAAATGAAAATATAAAGTTATAATACAAAAAGTATTATAATTTTTTTATTAGCCCCGGCTATCAACCCTCTTCTAAATCTTATAATTTTGCCGGGACCAGGTTTGCAAAAAGTCTCATTTTTAGCCGAGGCTCCGGTCACTTACTACTTAGTCTTCCAAATTCAACTAGATGGATAACAGAACTATTTGTAAAAGTATATCAACATTTTATATCAAAAACAGCATTAGCAAAGAAAAAATTATCTCTACTTATATTTAATAATCATGAAAGCCATTTATCTATAAAAGCTCTTGATCTTGCAAATACTTACTATATCATCACATAGTAGTCACAAAGTGCAGCCCTTAGATTTCTCTGTATTTGCTCATATAAAGTTTATAATGACACAGCAAAATCTTGGCTTTTAAATTACCCTGGAGTGATAGTCATTATTTAAAAAATTGCATCTTGTGTTAACATTACATATGAAAAGAATTCATGTCAAAATGAAATCACAAACATTTCAAATGGATTTAGCAAAAGTGAAATATTTCCTTTTGACAAGAATGTATCTTCAAAAGCAGATTTTTTATGTAGTGTTGTTACAGATAGAAACAATCCAAATACATTTCAAAGAAACATTGGAGAAACTCTGAATACCAATAATATGTTATTCTCACCAGAAAAGCTTCAAGAGCTTTTTGTCAGATCTGAGCTAAGTACAAGTCAAGCCAATAATTCTGAAGTTATTAACTTTGCAAGCCCTTCTCAGTTTAAAGGACTTCCAAAGGCCGCAGAAAAAAAAAAAAATAAATAAAATAAAACCCTGTTAAAAAGATTAACATAATTTTTTTGTACTGTTTTCCTACATTTTATAATTTTTTTATTATCCGGTCTCATGGTGCCCCATTGACTGTATTAAGGTACCCCATGGGTGAAGTACCTTGATATAAAATTCGAATTTTACTCAATATGTTTTTACAAGTTTGACCTCTTATATTTTGTTAATTTAAGAATTTAATTTTAAAGGTATAATGTTTATCTACAAATTGAACTAATCGCTTAAAAAAAAAAAAGTTACAAAACAAATACTAAAAGTGTATCATGGTGCCCCACTCTCCCTTGGCTCGCCCCAATCATGCTTTATGTAGGACTGACGATATCAAATTTCAAAAAGGGGTTGTCCATAAATTATGTTACGCAATTTTCGACAGTTTTTTTTTTCTATTTCCATATCCAACTCTGCACTTAGTTTTCTTTTAAGTTTCTGTTCAAATAATAGTTTTTGCAAATTGTCAAACTGCACTGTTACCCTCACTAATATGTCATGAATGCTTATCAAACGAGTAGAGACATGTCTCAACATCCATTGACCTAGGAGCTCAGTGAATGATTCCACAGCAAAATATTCTTCATTTTTTTTTGCAGAAAATTAAAAAAAAACTGTGCAAATCAATTGCTAATTGGTTCAAATCAACATCATCAGAAATCAACGATTTCAAACCTTCAAAAAAAGAATTGGACATTTTTAAATTTACCAAGAAGGTCTTCTGCAGTACACCTTCCTACAAACAATGTCTCAAGTACGATGTTATTATTTGCTGAAAGTGATTAGAATGGTACGTGGCATAATTATCATATTGTTTTTTTGTCTGTAATGAATAAAATAAAAAAAGATGTTAAAATCTTAAGTATTAGCTGATATTATACCTAAAACAAAATTAGTAAATTTTGTTTGAAAAACTTTTTATCTTCATTACCTTCTAAATATATTATTTAATATACAAACATTGTCAGACTTTTAAAAAAAAACAGGCGATTGCCTTAAAAACAGGAAAAAACAGGAAAACAGGCTATAATGGAAAAAATAGGGAAAAAACAGGCAAACAGGCTCTGTAGGAACCCTGGAATGACCCCTGAAAAAACAAA